TCCCCTCTTTCTCCCCCCTCGACCCCCCCCCCACTTTTAACAGTTAATCATTTTTCCTTCCCAGTGCCCGCTCATAACAGCGCATTATTTAGCCTCTTGAATTCTGTATTAGATATTAATAGGGCTTGCTTGTGTTTTCTCAGGGGAAGCAGCATATTTATTTCATTATTGGGTTGTAGATGAGTGTGTTCCTCCTCTCCATCAGAGCAAAGCAAAGATGGTATTTACTAAGCACATAAGTAAATACCACCTCTGTCCCAAGGGTAGAGGGTAAAATAATGAGCTTTAAAAGAATTGTCAAGACAGTCTTTTTCAGTAGGTGAAAACCATGGTCCAGGAGTGCTCACCAGATTTGGGGTGCCTCCTCAATGGCATGGCTGTTAATACATTTTATTCAAAGGCCATCAGCCTGTGTACTGGTGGGCTGCAAATAATTCTGTTTTGTGAGACTGATTTTCTTTATTGATGTAGCTAGTAGGCAAATGGTACTTTCGCATTGCCAAGCTGCCACAGGGCTTAGCTTGACATTTAGAAAGAGCACATACTTTTTATTTGAGGTAGACTGAGTTCAATTCGCAACTCCCAAGTCTTTTATTTTTATGCTCTGAGCAAGTCCCTTTCCTGAGCCTCAGTTTTCCTAGCCCTGAGTACTGTTTCACAGAAGAGACCAGCAGATAGTGTAATAGTTATGTCGCTGGACTCCCACTTAGGCCACCTCAATTGGAGGCACTGCCTGGTGGCTTAAAACTCAGGTTGGGTCTGTGTGCCTGCTCAAAATCCTGAGAGGAGAATGGAGAAGGGATTACAGTGAGTCCACCCTCCCCTGCCCTACTCCCCCCCCCCTTTCTCGTTTTCTGTCTCTCTTTCCAGAGAGCGCATGTACCCTATAGCAAAAATCTCTCTTAAAAAAAAAAAAAAAAAACAAAACTATTTCATGAAATTCTTGCCAGGATTAAAGTGACTGGGCATTTGGCACTTAGTAAACATTAAATGTCATGATTCTGGGTATATTTCTACGTTTCTGATTTGGAGCTTTCATTGTGCCTTTTTTGGTACTGATAAAGTTATTTCCAAATTAGAGCTCGCAACCAGAATTATTTCACAAGTTAATAAACATCCTTATCTTTTTGCCCCATTTGATAGATTTGTAAGTCAATATTTATTTCATAGACAGCTACATACAGTTCATTAGGGGTCTTGTGTGTAAAAGTCAGACTTCATGCTGGAACAAACTTGACCACTGTAAAAAAAATGTGTATATATATATGTATATGTATGTATATATATACATATATACATACATATACATATATACATATATATAGTGCCATGGTAAACGTTGGAACAGATTTCAAAATTTGAGGTATAATCAATCATTTAAGCCATACTATTTAGGTAACTTTGCATGGTTACAATTTGAATTAACAACCAAATCACTGACTACATTTTGCTTATTTTGAACCTAAATAGGATATTGGAGGGGGGGGACAAACTACTGACACGTTAGTGTTTTTTTAAATAAAGTCATATTTATTTACTCAGACTACAGTTGATATTCCTTATTAGAGTGAGGATGAATGTCACCATCTTTAAATTCACTTATTCATTTTCTGCCTAATAATCTTCTGCAGTACCACAACAATTCCAAGGACACAATTAAATTTAAACTTTGGTGGGCTTTTCTATAGCTAGTATAGGCCAGTTTTATCAAGTAAACACATATTATCAATCATTATAATATTTTTTACAAAGAAATATTAAGCCTTTTTGCCAAGAAACATTGTGCTGCTTCTCTATTTTACAGTTATAGCGTTGTATGAAGTTTGTATCCCTATCGATTCAGTACTATTAGGTAAGCATTTACGCACATTACCTTAGAAGAGATAATAGAAGAAAAGAGGTATTAATGATAGAAAATGAGAAATGGTCACCTCTTCATTTCTCTTTTGCATTTCATTATCTTTGTCTCATAAACTACTCAGTCCATCTTTATGGACATCATTGAGCATATCCTACAAATAATTTGAAAGGAAAATCCCATAGGGGCTAAGATTATTACGATGAGAATATAAAAGAATATTTTCACTGAAAAAGATGGTAGTGATAATAAACAATAAGCAAATAAAGAATGATCCGTTAAACATGATTTCAGAATATGAGAAGAACTGAGAAATATGTTGGGCTTAGGGAGTTTGCCTTAGTTAAAGGACCATTGCTAATACTGTTTTTATGATTTACTAACTGGATTTCTGACTGTTTTGTTTTGATTGCTTACTAGATCTTCCCAGCCTTTATTTAGTGCCAGCTGACTATGCTTCATCACGAAGATCAATTTTGTGTGGTGATTAAGAAGCTTGCTTCTTGGGCTTACTTCCATGGCCTAATGGTGAAGGGAGCCAGATTTCACCTAGCTGACCACATGGTTCAAATCCCAGACCCCTTGGCCTGAAAACCATGCTGGATGTGTGTGTCCAAAATCCTGGCAGGATGGAGAAGTGGAGAAGAATGAATTGCGGCTTGACCATGCCCCATTTGGGGGGTACTTTCCTCCTCTCTGTCTGTCTCTGGCAGGCACGCATACCGTCTGGCAAATTAAAAAATAAAAACGTCTCATCTCTTACATGCCTTTAAGCTAATATGGCCTGTTGACTTTAGACAAATTACTTGACTTCCCCAGGCCTTCAGGTGTTCTCCTTTGTAAAAGGGAAATGTTAACAAATCACAAGATGAAGTGAAAATTAATGTGTATAAATCAGTGGTTTTCCAATATTTTGCTTGTATATCAATCAGAGAATTTTGAAAAAAAAAAAAAAGATTCCCTCGCATATTTTTAAGTTGACATCTATCACTTGAATTTCAATAGTTGAAAAATGTAATTTCTGGTATATTATAGAAAATTAGCACTTTGAAATAAAGCTGTTACATGCTTCTTTTAAATACATTCAATTGAATATAAATACTGTAGTAATTGATAGTGTTTATTTGTTTAAAGATTATTTCCTACATAAATGAGAGAGACAGTACCCCTTGCAGGGTCTCGATACTTTCAGCCAGCCCAGAATGATGGGCACACACATGCTCAGCATACTCAAGAAAGTCTCCAGACTTGAGTCAGGAACCTTCCCATGTGCAGTTACCTCACAGACCATCATGTTTTACCACTATGCTACCATCTGGCTATAATAGTATTTATTTATAAAATACGTATACTCCTGGGCCAGTAGGTAGTGTGTAGGTTAAGACAACTAGATCCCGCATAGCCATCAGCTTGAAAAGCATGCTGGGTGCCTGTGCATGCATGCCCAAAATCCCAAGAGGAGAGTAGAGGAGAGAGGCCTGTGATGTGACCATCCCTCCAGGCTGTAGTTTCCTCCTTTCTCTCTCTATCCCACCTCCACTTTAGCAAGTGCACATGTCCTATAGCAAATGTAAAAGGGAAGGAAAAAAAGCTAACATTCTCTTTCTCCAATAAATACACATGCTTTTAATAGTTTGAACATTTGTTTCCTTTCTTTGATTGCAAAAGGGTATGCATGCTCACCAGAGAGAGGGAGAACACCCCACAGAGGGATGTGGTCTCACCACAATCCTTTTTCCTCCATTTCTTCATCCTTTCAGGTTTTGGGGCAAATACTTTGGATTTGGCATGTTTTTCAAGCCTCTAAGACTGAGATTTGAATCACGGTCAACCCATGTGGGATCTGGCTCCCAAGCATAGCACCTAACCACCAAGCTACATTGCTGGCATTACATTGTTTCTTGTCTTTCAAGTACATTTTTTTCATAGGATTTTATCTTCCATAATGTATTTTATAGTGCTTTATTAACTTCCCAGTTTCTTTACCAATATACTACATGTTCTTGTAAACATACCAAGTCTTCAATCTCCCCTGGCGAAAGTAGTTATAATTAATGCATGATTGGTTAGAATGATAGAAGTTATGGTGCCTTAATTAAAGGAGGGCTTTGCTGACACCCTATTTGGAATCCTCATGATTTCAAAGTTTGGGGCATTGTATTTTTCTGAGATTTGGAATGGATGAGAGGAGTGTCCTTTTGTGTGTATGTGTGAGAAGCACATTTTTTGTTTGTTTGTTTTTGGAGAGGTTTCGCTGTAGGGTGCATGCGCTTGCCAGACAGACAGAGAGAGACAG